TCTTCATATGAAAGTCTTTTTATCTATAGGTATGTACTTTTATCTTCAGTTACTAGAGAAAATAAATATGCTTTTATCAACAGATAAAAGACATTTGTCTCAAGCATTATACTTTCATTTCTTTATATATAGCATGAGTAAAACATTGTTGTTAATATTTCTTCTCTTTTTTTATACACCTTATGAATGTCGAAGTCAACAGGATATTCAATCTGATACATGGATTGCTGTTGATGGTCTTGGTCGAGTGTTACCAAATATAACACAAGTTGGTCCCCCACGTCCTAATCGTACAGTTGGAATGTTTTATTTCTTACATTTGGGTCATGATGGATCGGTAAATGGACCCTATGATGTATCGAAAATTCTCAAAGAACATCCTGAAGCAATCAATGATATAAATGATCCACACTGGGGACCCCTTGATAGTTCACATATATGGGGTGAAAGTCTTTTTGGTTATTACATGATTGATGATGATTTTATTCTTCGTAAACATGCATCTATGATTGTAAATGCAGGTGTTGACGTCATTATTTTTGATGTTTCTAATGCAGTAACTTTTCGTGATAATTATCAAAAACTATGTTCTGTATATACTGATATTCGATCAAAAGGAGGTCGAACGCCGCAAATTGCTTTCCTCTGTCCATTCGGCAATCCAGGTGATATGGGACGAAAGACGACACGTGCAATATATGAAGATTTGTATGCTAATGGATCTTATTCTGATCTTTGGTTTCGATGGAAAGGTAAACCATTGATGTTAGCTGATCCAGGATATGTTGACGATGATATTCGACAATTTTTTACTTTACGTCAAAATATTGGACCTTACAATCAAGGTCCAACTGGACCAAATCAATGGGCATGGCTTGAAATTTATCCTCAGCATGTATTTTTGAATAGTGAAGGTGAGAAAGAAGAAGTTGCAGTTGGTGTTGCACAGAATTATAATAAAATACAGTACAATAGTACTGCACCGATGAGTTGGCCTGGTGCTTTTGGTCGTAGCTATCATAATAACTCAATGGATAATCGAACGGATGCAGTTAATTGGGGATTTAATTTTGCTGAACAATGGGAACGTGCATTAGAAATTGATCCTCAATTTGTCTTTGTTACTGGATGGAATGAATGGACAGCAGGTAGATATGCTTCATGGAGTAGATGGACAGCTCCACCAGTTATTTTTGTTGATGAATTCATTCAAGAATTTAGTCGAGATATTGAACCGATGAGTGGGGGTCATGATGATAATTATTATTATCAATTAGTAAATTATGTTCGACGTTACAAAGGAGTTCGTTCAATAACACCTGTAAAAGCAAGTCCAATTATAATTGATGGTAATTTTCAAGAATGGCAACCTGTACAACCAAGTTTTCAAACAGATCCTGGAACGCCTGTATGGCGAGATTATCCTGGAAGTGGAAAAGCAGGTCCCTATATCAATCATACTGGTCGAAATGATATTATCGAAAGTAAAGTTAGTTACAATGGAGATTATATTTATTTCTATGTACGAACTTATAATTTAACTACAAACTATATGGATCCTAATTGGATGTTATTATTTTTAAATACTGATGCTAATTATACTAGTGGATGGCTTGGCTATGATTTTGTAATTAATCGAAATGTTCGATCATCTCAAGAAACATCTCTTGAACGTAATAATGCTAGTAATTCTTATGTTTGGACAAAAATAGCCGATATATCTTACGCTATGAAAGGTAAAGAACTTGAATTAATGATACCACGAAAATTGTTAGCTATTCCAGCATCATATGTTACTATTGACTTCAAATGGGCAGACAATATTCAACAAGATGGTACATGGAGTGACTTTTCATTAAATGGTGATTCCGCTCCTCCTGATCGTTTTAACTTTCGTGCACAACTTAATTAATATTTGATACATTTGTAGTTATTACACGCATTATCTTTTTCTTATATTCATCGAATTAATTTTAAGTTCCATTATGAAATTATGTGTGAGCGTGGATGAATATTCTAATAGCACTTCTTACTGTATACAATGATTTTTTTTTCTCTATTCATTTTACCGTAGAAAATATATTTCGATAATTTCATCACATTCATCAAAAAGATGCAAAATATACGTTGTATGTCATTTTAATTTTAGTTAGTAACTCTTGTTTTTTTAATTATATTTTTTTCATATGTGAACAAAAGAATGTATGAAAATACAAGAGTAAACAATAACTCAGGAATGTAATTCAAATGAAACAAAAAATTCATTATTTTTTTTGTATTATAATAACATCATGATCTTTGCGCTATATTCTGATTGACATAATATTTGGCTTCAATCGAATGTATTTATATGTTAATCAGTTTCTTTTTTTTTTTAAAAATCAGAGAAGAAATAGAAGTTATATTCATTGTATTGAATCTCTTGTGCAAGTCACTCGATATGGATATATATCAATCTACAAAAGTATCTTTTGTGCCAAGAATAAGTACAACTCGATGGTCAAACCAAGTAATTTTTCTTGAAAATTTAAGTTAAAATCATGTTTTATTATCTCTGCCAGGGTTTGTTAATGAATAATCAACAACAGAAACAACAAAATAACAATGAGCAAAATCTATCTTTCAATAGACCGGAACAGTTACTTGATAATCTTCAATCATTGTCACTGAGAAATTATTCTAAGTATCAACAACAGAAATATCGAAATAGTAATGAACAAAGTTCATCACTCAATAAATTTCAACGGTTTCGTGATAATCTCCAATCATTACCACTGGAAAATGATTCTAAGTATCAAAACAACAGCAATGAACAAAATCCATCATTTAATAAATCGCAATCGCTTCCCAGTAACGTTCTAACATTACCATTAGATAATCATTCTAAGTATCAACAAAATCACAATGACCCAAGTTCATCATTCAATAAATCGCAACTGTTTCCTGATGATGTCCCATCATCGCCACTAGAAAATTATTCTAAGTTAGTGCAAATTTTTAAAAACTGTCATGTAGCAGAGCAAGAACTAAGAGGAGCATTAAAATATGAAAATAAAAAATTGAATGCATCTCTGTCTATCGCCTTTTAAAGATCATGAACTGCCATCTTATCATTACCACAGGACGTAATAGATACAGGTTCTAAGATGAGATCCATTAGCTATACTGACTAAAACAAAGCCCATTAGTTTTCTAGTGAATTAAATAAATATAAGAAACATATCAATATGAGTTCAAGCATCTATTAAGATATGAATATTCAGAGAATTTATTTATTTGTCAGTATCAATTATTTCGTGTTCCATCTATTACAGTAACTCCGATGAACTCGAAACCATCAACAAGACAAGCTACTATCCGATGGCTTTTTATATTTGTGTTGGAGTTTCACTTTTCCTTATTGCTACAACAGCATTGGTAATAAATATTTATGAATTGATCCTTATAAGTAAAACAAGTACGAGTAAGAATATCTTAATATTTTTTTCAAGACTAACGTTGTTTCAAAGAGATTTTAATCTGTATATGATAAGTAAAAATGACATAGAGTAGAATTTTATATTTCGAGCCAATACGTTGTTCTGTATATATCGATATATAAATGTCGAGTTCATTAGTATTTATATTTAACTATAAATAATTGTAAAACATGAGGAATATATTATTGACAGAAACGACAAGGTAGTTTTTACACAATTAATTAAAACTATTTAATAAATTAAGCTCATTATTTTATTAATTTCAAAAATCAAATTGAATTGTGTCGATTTTACTAGGTACAAAAGAATCATTCTAAGTGATAAATTACTTTTGATTGCGAACTTCATGCATAAGCTAGGTCTAAATGCGATATGAAATCTCGCAACAACAAATGCTCTTAGGTTTTCTATCCGGAATTATAGATATTTTACTGTAATTTTACTCTTAGGCATGGCATATATCAAAAATTGATATCATAGTATTTCGAACTGAAGTTTTATCTATGGACCGGCTTGTTGGTCAGTAGAATGTTTTCTATTATTTTTGGTATACACTATGTCTAAGACTAAAATCATCGCAAAATATCTATAACTTCGGATACACAAATTCAGAGTACTTGCTATCATAAGATTTTATACATAGGATCCGCAATCAAAAGCAACTTATCACTTGGAGCCTTCTCCTTGTCAACTCAATTTTTTTAATTATTAAATTTTATTTTTAGCTACAAGTACAACGACTGCAATGCCAGGTAATGTGCCATCTTACTTAATTGAAATGATTATTTTCAGAATTTGACTCTTTAATATTATTGTTTGATTGAACATATCGGTGAGTTATTAGTTTTGGAAAAGTATTAGATTGAGGAATATAACAAGAGTGAGAAATAGTTACGGTATACCTAGAAACTATGGAAATAACCCATCATTTATATTCGATCATATTTCTATACATAGCTGTGAGAATGTGGTCACATCTTTTTTAAAGATTGACACTACTTGTTTTATTAGAATTATTTTATTGTTAGGATGGGTTGGTACTGGTGATATGACGAATGTACGACGTGACCATCAAGCATCTGTATTAGCAAATGGGAAAGTGCTAGTTACAGGTGGATTTACTGGTAGTGTCTATTTGAATGGTGCTGAGCTGTACGATCCATCTACAGGAGTATGGACAACTACTGTTAATATGAATAGTATTCGAGGTTATCACCAGGCATCTGTATTAGCAAATGGAAAAGTGTTAGTTACAGGTGGATATACTGGTAGTAGTTATTTGAAGACTGCTGAATTATATGATCCATCTACAGGAATATGGACACTCACTGGTAATATGAATAGTATGCGAGCTTTTCATCAAGCATCTGTATTACATAATGGAAGCGTATTAGTTAGTGGTGGATGCAGTAACACTAGCGTTTATATAAATAGTGCTGAGTTGTATAATCCAACTACAGGAGTTTGGACAACTACTGGTAATATGAATAGTATTCGAGGTTATCACCAAGCATCTGTATTAACAAACGGAAAAGTGTTAGTTAATGCTGGGACTGATGGTAGTAGTAATTATTTAAATACTGCTGAATTATATGATTCAACAACAGGGGTTTGGACAAGTACTGGTAATATGAACAGTATGCGAATTTTTCACCAAGCATCTATATTACAAAATAACAAAGTGTTAGTTACTGGTGGACTCAGTAATGCTTTCGTTTATTTAAATAATGCTGAATTGTATGATCCATCTACGAGTACATGGACACTCACTGGTAATATGAATAGTATGCGAGCTTATCATCAATCATCTATATTGCAAAATGGACAAGTATTAGTTAGTGGTGGATGCAGTAGCAACGGTGTTTTTTTAAACAGTGCTGAGTTGTATAATCCAACTACAGGAGTGTGGACAACGACATTTACTATGAATTCTAGTCGATCTGAGGATACAGGATCCTTACTAACAAATGGAAAAGTATTAGTTGTTGGCGGACTTGGTGCTAGTGGATTTTTAAATAGCGCTGAATTATATCAACCATAAGACATAAACTAAAGATCAATAGCTTTTTCTTTTTTTTCCAATAAATAATCTCAATAAATGACTATGAACGAGAACAAGAATCAAAAGGGATGTAAGTGTGGGCAAGGTAAAAGAAAATGAATTCAGAACTGTACCCATTCACACTCACATCCGCACCCTCAAAATATAGAGAAAGAAAGAAAGAAGAAAGAATCGTATCGAGTTTTGTTGCATAGATTCAACAAAGTGTTTATCAGTGCACATAATATACAAAACTATCCGTTTATTTCTAGCATCATTCTCAATCAAACTCATTTTCCTACTGAAAATCTGTGAAGATTGCTTTATATTCTTTCACTATTATAGCATATTAACTCAATACATTTCTCAACAATCAATATTTTTTAACAAGCCATGATTGGACACAACTAAGAATATCTTAATGTTTTCGAGTATGATAAATTCATAGAATGCTAGTTATTCAATCTTTTTATCTCTCATCCTATTCACTGATCATTTGCATTAGACTTAAGATTTACGATTAGCTTGATTAATTCTTATATGTATGAAATACAGTACTTATCTATTTCTACAGCAATCTCCTATTTTTATAAATGTAATGAATCTTTTCATGACAAAAAAAATAACACATATATCATCATAATCTATGAAGAAAAATAGTGATAAATGAATCATGAACATCAGTCTTGATCTGGAGTGTTGCTAAACAGATGATAACACATGAAAAGACCCTTTTTAGCTTCCACAATATGTTTATTGAATTCACTTTTACGCATCTTTGCATCATCGAAACATTCATTCAGTGACAACTCATACATGAAATTAGGATTGTTCTTATTGTTATTGTGTACATATGTTATATATTTTTCTCACTCCTCTTTATTGTGCTGTGATATGATATTCACGTAATTTGATGATATTATAGTGTGTGTGTATACTAGAACGTGAGAATCAATATTTTTCACTAAAAATATTTAGTTTGTTTTTTTTTTGATTAGCACTATTTTCATCAAAAAAAAGTGTATCAAATGACTCTTACCCTTTTAGAGTTGTGGTCACAAAATCAAAGTGCAATTAAATTTAGATGTTTTCTATACTATCAAACAAATTGAAGGAAAGACATTGATAATAAGTGTGAATTTCATGTTTTTTTTGTATTGCATGAGTGAGAAATGATACGCAGTAGTACTTGATATTTGATGTATTGCATGAATAGTAACAAATTGTTATCTATGTCTCCGCATATATTTTTCTATCACGTGTACATCCAAGTTATTGTCATGTGAGAACAGTAGTTAATTGTTTTGTTGACTGAAAACAATATTGTTCGTTACTCTACCTCTATATATATAGATACACCTTTTCTCATAGTTTCACAAATCAATTCTTATCGTACTCTAGTTTTATTCTTCACTACATTATTACTATTAATATGCCAGGCTGTGGATGTGGTTGCGGTTGTGGATGCGGTTGTGGTTGTGGATGTGGTTG